CAAAACATTGACTGCAATTTTAATTGAGTCAAAGATATAAAAGAATGTTCCGTCTTCGATATAGCTAATTATATGCTTTGCCGACTCTCTATTATCTATCACGCAATCGCTTAACATTAGCCTTTTATGACCTGCGACTATAAAAAAAAATTTTTTTGAGTCGTCATAAAAATACTCATTAGACTAAGATACACATAAATGACTTTTAATTAAAATTGTTTTGCATTCAAATTTTGACAATGCTTACACTTTTTCTGACTAAAAATTAAATTTCCCAAAGAAAGAAATCTGTTTCATCTAAAGTAATATATGCTGGTACAAGGAACAGATTGGATATAATTATTGCAATATTTGCCCTAAAGCATTTGTAAATTCTTCGAAGCATTATAAGAAGAATCAAGTTCCTTTTACGATAGCTTTGTTTTGAGATTAACATATATACTATGGATCTAAAGGTAACATCCCTTAATCAATCTTTTTAAAAACTTTGTCGAAAAAATAAAAAATAAAAATTATCTAGATATAATTATCTTTGATGATCGTTATATTTGGAAGAGTCTTATTGAGATTACTTTATATCTTGTTAATAAATTTAAGATATTATAATAAAATTTAAAATAAAAACTAAAAATTTAGTTAAGTAACGCATTAAGAATAAGTAATTTTCCTAAAACATCAATAGCTCTGTCAGTAGAATCTTCAGAATCGGAATCTGAACTGGATGAAGATGATTTATTATTACTTCTGAGTTCGTCTTTTTCTTTGTCAGTTAATTCGCAACCGTGATCATCTAAATAAGATGCCAAATTAAGATAGATCCTACTCCTATTGATTGCGCACTTGATTGGTGTTCCAGAGTCTGAAACAATATTCTTCTCAACATTAGAATTATTAGCAAGGTACTGAATAACTGCTAATCTGAGGAAGAAAACACCACAATGTAACGCTGTTTCATCAACCTCATTAACGTCATTGATGCTTAAGAAATTCTCAGCATATTTGAGGCCTTCAAGATTGCCTGAAATGCTGAATGCATGAATGATACTTTCTCCTTCTTTTGTTCTGAATTTCATGTCAACATCGCACTTGTTGAATGCTTTGACAAGAGGAAGATCTCCCTTGTATGCAGCATATATAAGTCCATTCATTCCCAAGAGTCTGTAATTATTCTGTTCAATGTCGCATTTGACATTAATGTATCCATATCTCACTGCATGTTTGATCGTTTCCATGTAGCCTTCTTGAGCTGCGAATGAGAGAATTGTGTAAATTCTGTGAACATTTTCAACTCCATCTGCTTTGCTGCATTTCTGGAGGGAGTTTAATGATTCTGATTCTTCATCTTTTTCGCGGAGTTGGCTTATTGTGCTTTCGTTTGCTGATATTTGTTGCTTCAGTGATTTTACCGTTTTTTCTGAAGAAGAAAGTTGAGATTTCAAAGACTGAAAATCTGAATCTTTGGAAGATAACTGTTCTTTCAAGGTAAAAATATCGTTATCTTTAGACTTAAGTTGTTTTTGTAATTTTTGTATCTCGGATTCTTTTGAAGAAATTTGTGATTTTAATTCACTAATTATCTTACTGTATTCTTGCTGCTGTGAAAGTTTTTGTTGAAGTTCATCACATTTCTTTGAGTATTCGCGTGCTTTGTTGTAAAGGTCATTGTATTGTTCTGTTAATTTTTGATTTTCTTGCATAATTTTATCGAATTGGTGGCTAATTTCTCTCATTGATCTGAAATCAAGTTTCTCTTCAAAAAGAGTGAATATATACTTCAATTCTTCGTAATTATTAACATGGACTCGAGCTTTATGAAAACACCTGAATAAATCGTTACTGTTGTATTGTTCCCTTCCAGATTTGAAGAGTAAATCAACTTCTCTCAGCCCGAGCTTCGAATATTTCAAAATATCAGCTGTAATTTTTATTGAGTCGAAGATTTGAAAGAATGTTCCGTCTTCGATATAGCTAGCTATATGCTTTGCTGACTCCTTACTATCGATCTCATAATTGCTTAACATCAACTTTTATTCACTGACGACTTTCTAAATGTAAAAAGTCAAAAATGCTTTAAAAATTCTTATTACTTAAATCTACGTATGAACGACTTTTTTTTCAAAATCATGATTTGAGAGAAATCAAGATTTGTGAAGTTTATTTTTTACATCAACCTGAATTTATTAAGGGTGCACATGAGAGGATCATGTAATGTAATAAACAGAAATTCATCAAAAGTGACAGCTCTCAATTTTTTTGACATTTGTAAATTCTAAATTGAATGAGAAAAATGAAATAATACTAAGCATAATACAATATTCTAGATTTAATTATAATTAGGAAAAAGTTTGTTTTGAGAGTACTTTTCATAGGCATATAGAATGAAATCTTCTGAAAAATAATATCACATAAACTCATATTATTTTCTAATATTAAGGGTTTCGTTTTGCGAAAAAAACGTACAATACGCAATTTCGCTAAAAAAACATTTAGCTAGCAATTTCGACCTTTGACTCCACTCAAGACGTCACTTTTTTAATTTTGCGGTATCATATTTTTGGAAAATCTTTATGAATATTATATAAAAAGTCTCTTTAATATCTATATTTCATATTTTTATCGATTTTTAAAGTTTTTGCGAAAAGTATTCAATTATTTTTGCTATTTGGTCGGGTAAATGTCAGATTTGCGACATTTTCTGATATGATATTCAGATTCTACGTTGATAATAATGCTTATAGAACCCTCTTGCTATTGTGTCAAAATTGCGAAACCGATAGCAAAAATATCTCGCAATATCAAAATTGAGATATTGAGTGAATTATGCATTATAGAGATTAAAAATCTGATTTGTGAAAACATCTCATCAGTTTCTAGCTAATTCAAAAATCTTTACTATCTTATTCGATTAAAATGAAAAGGGAATAGTTTCATTATGCTTTAAATGACAGCCTTATAATATAATCATAGTTTTCGCTCAATATGCAGCATTTTTTTTTCGAAATCTATGGTCAATGTCCTAAATACTGATTGCTTTGCATTCATATCTCTTACATTTTCTATACCCACATCACTATTCATTGCTATTCCTATCTTTTTCATTTTTGTTTGTTTCTCATAATTTCTCAAAAAACACGATAACTTGATATTTGTAAATATCATACTTTATAACGTAAATAAGAACTTGACCTATTAAGAAAAGCAGTAATGAAAAGAAAATCTGAAATTCATAAAAATTACAAGTTTCTGATGACAATTAGCTTAATTAAACCAGGTACAAGATTATATAATTGTATTTTCTATCCAATTATCCATATAATATCTTATCCAGAAAAAATAACTTGATCAATACCAAATGATTTTTTAACTAGTAAATAAAGTATTTTCTTTACACACACATTGTATATCATAGTTTTTTTTTTTGGTTTCGCAAAACATCCAAAAACAAATATGCTATAAAAGTGACAATTTTAGCAAAACGAAACCCTTACTAATATATAACTATTTAATATAAAAATCAAATTCAATGATCTTAAAAGCGAAGGATAAACCTCAAAATTTACGAATATAATGAGTGGGAATATAATGCTTATCTATCATAAAACCATATGAAATATTAATTTTTGCTTTACGCCTAATTTTTGACGACAATTAGCAAAAAATGTTAAATGTTAACACTCAGTCCATTTGAATATGAAAAATAAAATTGACTTTAATTAATATTTAAAAACGTGCTCTATCAAAAGTTCCAAAAATTCAATATTTGAGCTTTTCTGAGGTGTCACTTTTGATGAATTTCTGTTTACAACAGTAAACTTATCAATTATCTTGGCTACCTATTTAGGCTCGAAAAGCAAAAAATATCAAAAAATACAACTTGAGTCCATTATGACCCTTTCATGGAGGTAGTTTTTATCCGCTAGTATTTTCCCTTTGAATCTCTTTACAATTCGAAATCAAATTCAAAACTCAGTAGAAGAAAGGAAGAATCGACTTACTACGGTTGTAATACGAATAAATACATATATTTAATTATTTTTATTTACATAATAATTGTTTGAAGCTCATATTCCATCAAATTTTTAAATAAAAACATTAAAATGTTGAAAATGTTCATATATTTTAATAGGGTTTTGGCACTTTATTGAGGAATTACTACATACATAGTCGAACTGAACTTGATATTTTGAAATTTAAATTATTTATCAAAATTAAAATTTAACTTGAAATTTATAATTATTTAGTCATATTTTGCATAATTCTAAGTAGATTTTGTAAAAAATCAAGAAAGAAAAATTTTAACGTGCTTTATTTTTTCTTTTTTATAATAATACATATTATTATATAATTAACATATTCATAATGTTTCACCCTTTCAAAAATATAATCCTCCTCCTCTCAAATAAACGTACATACGGGTGGCCTCTTTTTTCAAAAAATTAAAATTTGAAATTTTGGGCTCAAATATTAGAGATTTTTTTCAACCTTCAACGATATATGTTGTCTATATCAGACCTCCTTTCTTTTTGATACTTAACATTGTTCCTAAATCTTAGCCGTTAAGGCTGTTCTGAAAATATTTTTTTTTCGAAAAAATTCGAAAAAAATTCTTAAAATTCAAAAATCCCTTAATTCCAGAGGATTTTGGAAAAAAGTTTTTACATGAACATGTGTATATTATATGAAGTATATTGATAAGGTAAAAATCAAATTTTATTGCATATTCATCGAGAAAATAAACTAACGAATCCCTCAAAATTGAGAGGGTAATCCTCCTCCTCTCAAATAAACGTACATACGGGTGCACCCTTAATGACAATCAGTATGAATAATTAAAATGCTAAGATGATTTGATTCCAAAAATTTTACCATTTGAATAACAATAATACTTTATTCATTTTATTCTTTTATAAAGATGTTTGTTTTCAGCATGCTTGTATAATATGAGTATCAAGATGAATGATGCATTCGATCCAGATAAAATATTTATTCATCTTGAATATTTAAACATCATTATGACTTGATTTCTTAGTAATATCATTTTCCAAAAGTTTCACACAATTTCCATGCTTATCTTTTGCATTTACATTTGCTCCACATGAGATAAGATATTTCATAACTTCAAAATGTCCTTCACGAGAAGCAGCGATGAGTGGAGTATGCCCCTTTTTATTCTTATCTTCTAAATTTGCGTCTAAAGAGATGAAATATTTAACAACTTCAAGATGCCTGCTTTTTGAAGCAATAATTAATGGAGTATCACCATTTTTGTTTTTTGTATTTTTGCATGCTCCGGATTCTATGAGAAATTTTACTATTTCGAGTTTCCCGCTATGTGAAGCTAGAGTTAATGCAGTATTTCCATTATTGTTTTTAGCTTCAATGTTTGCTCCTGCTTTTATAAGGTATTTAACAACTTCTAAATTTCCGTTTGCTGAAGCACAAATCAATGGCGTGTTTCCAATTTTGCTCTTCACTTCTATATTGAAACCGATTGAAATTAGATAATTAACTACATCTAACTTGCCGTTTATTGATGCAAGAAGAAGTGGTGTATTTCCATATTTATCTTGGACTGCAATATCAGCATAGTTTACAATTAGATGTTTAACAATTTCTAATTGTCCTCCAAGTGAAGCACAATTTAGAGGAGTGTTTCCAAAATTATTTTTTGCTTCTTTATCAGCTCCTTTTGACAGAAGATGTTTAACAATTTCAAAGTGTCCATTACTAGAAGCCAGACATAATGGAGTATTTCCTTCAATATTTGCAGTCTTTATGTTGCATCCACTATCAATTAGTAATGTAACAAGATGATTGTTCCCTTCTTCACAAGCTTTTAGAAGAGGAGTATTTCCTTTTTCATCTTTCGTCTCTAAAAGAGCTTTTTTGCATCCACTATCTGTTAATTCTTCAAGAACTTTGTAAATTCTATTGAAATTATTCTTAATGTACTCATAAATAACAAAATCTTTTTCTTTTATTTGATTTTTTAAAGATTTGATTTCGTTTTTCATTTCTTTGACTTGAATTCTTAGTGATTCATTCTCTTTCATCATGTTTTCTATTTTATTATTGAGAATATTATTTTGTTCTTTGGTTTCCATTAATTCAGATAATTTTAAATTATCATAAAACTGAAATTTACTGAATATTCCATTCTTTTCTTGAATGCTCCATACTTTTGTGGCTCCCTGGGTGTTTTTTATTAAAACATTTGCATTGAGAATAAAAGTTAATAGTTTATCACTATTTGCATTCTTCAAGCATAATTCTAGAATAGATATATATTCGTCCAATGTTAATGTAGTTTTTTGAAAAATTATTTGCAAATCTTCTGTATCAAATATATCTATGAACCTGTTATCCTTTATATATTCGTGGGCATTTGAAATAATATAATCGAGATTAAGCGTCAGGTCACACACACTGGACATTAAAAAATTTTGAATGAAAAATCAAACGAGATGGTATTTAAATAATTTATTTTAGACTTATCTATACTATCATAAAATTGGCATTTATGAATCTTAGTCAAAATATGTTTACAATTTTGTTTACCAATATTATCGTATCAAAATGTCACTTTTTTATTCTTTCGATTCACACTCCTACTTTTGTCACTTTTGATTTTGAGGAAGTCAATTTAAACTATTCACATACACATTTGATTTCCTTTAAAAAGGAAATATATTGTTTATTATGTTCAAGATATATGGAGTCAATATTTTACTGAAACACCAAAAATAGCATTAAAATATCCATTTTTTGTTGCACATTTACATAAATCTAATAATCCATTCAGCAGCGATATACATCATTAAGTTTAGATGCATTATATTTATTTTGTATTTGCTAGAAAAGCATATTTTGATGTAATCAAATTTAATATCTAGGAATTATTTGATTTTTGAAGCAGAGTTTTACTGTAACTATTTTATACACTTGGTCCTGATTTTATTACCTAGTACTTTGTACAATCAAAAATGAAAAAAAAAATTATCTTAAGATAATTGAGATTCACCTACCATATATGTATATCTTTATATGAAGAATTACTATCGTATTGTGTATGGTAGTAATGAAATACATCTATCATGTGAGCCTACAAGATGCTATGAAGTTGATGAAAATTGAGAGGAGATAGGTGGTCGGTAGGAACCCTTAAATATAAATCATAGTGTCACTTTTAGTTTACATCAAAATCTTCTCGAATCGGCACCATATGGCACGATTTATCATTTAGGTCTTCTTTGTTGAGATAAATTAAGGATGTCGCTTTGCGAAAAAAACGGATATGCTAGCAACTTTCTCCAAATATCCTATATCACGATATTTGGCACTTTTCTACCTCGCTTTATTGGCACTTTTTTAAAATGAGAATAATGATATTTATGATATTTCCATTTTTTCGATGAACACTAGTTTAAAGGTTTCGAATAAATAATAAATTTCACGATTTTATTGATTTTTAGTGAAGTTGCTACTTCCATTCAATTTTTCGTGCTATTTGGCCGGGTTTTTGTCAGAATCGCACGTTTTTATTTTATGATTTTTGGAATCTACATATATAGATAAGCTTATAGAACCCCCATGATATTTTGTCAAAAATGCGATTTGCGATTGTCAAATATCCTATAATTGCTATTAATGATATAACTGTTCCATCATATTGCTCTCGGATTGTTAATGATACTTTCAAAATTTCGCGATAGAATTCTTTCAAATCAAAAATGAGATAATTGTATTCGATATATTTTTATGAAAATATTAAATATTTCAAATGCAAAATTCAATTATATCATTTTCCGAAGTGGATATCATGAATATATGTTGATTTCGCTATGAAATATATTTTTTATGAAAAATTCTTTCATGATCTGGTAACTACATCACAGTATAGCAATAGGAAATGACATTTTCCTTCATAAAATCTTAACATTTTTAAAATATGAATCCACAATTGGATATTTCTCAATTTGAACATTCAGAATCCACAAAAATTCCTATTTATTAAAGGATTGCCTATTCTGAAACCTATTTAAGTAATAATTATTGAAATAAAAATTCAATTTTAATGAAAAAGAAAAACAAAGAGAGAGAGGGAGAGAAGAAGAAGAGAAAGAAAAAGAAGAGGGAAAAATAAAGAAGAAAAAGAAAAAAGAAAAAAAGGAAAAAGGACGGTGTGCATAGAATGAACTTTATAGCCGAGCATTCGGAAAAGGCCGGAGCCGAAGGCGAAGGTCTTTTCCGAATGCGAGGTAAAATTTTTTTAGATATTTTAAGTCGCACGCAAGATACCTAAAATTAGTGCTATAAAAGTGACACTATTCGCAAAACGGCATCCTTAGATAAATGGAAATAACTCGAGAAGATATTTGTAAATTGAAGAAAATCTTTTGTTGTTTTTTTAAAAACTATATTTTCAACGATGAAAACACGCTATTAGGCGTAACATTTCATGTCCTACAGTCAGAATTTGTAGACGGAAAGGTATCTCCACTGCCTTCTACCAAATCTTTATCAAAATGTCACTTTTTTGCACTTTTTTCTGCAAATTCCCGATTTGACACGCCCCTAATTGCAAAAAAAACCGGCCCCCTCCAACTTATACTATGACCATATCCTATTGTAATATCTACTGTTAGATAAAATTGAAATCCATTCTCAATTTTGAGAAGACTCTCTCAAAAAAAATAAGCATTTGAATATATTTTCTATAAAGAAATTGATAGAAATATCGAAATTACTGTTGAAAAAAATCTCATTAGATTCAGAAGAGTTTCACTATATATATAATAAAAATATTCGTGAAGCGAAGAAAAAGAACCCTGAAAAGGAAGATGATTGGAAAATGCGTGTTCTTGATTGTTTATCTATTTATATTACGCTTAGCTTATTTAGCCTCTATTGGCATTTCATTGAAAAAAGTAATCAACAATGAGCTACGGTTTATAGAGCAGCTATCTCTATGTATATATTTTGTTATATTACTATTTATTCAGTTCTAATTTATTTGTATATTGAGTTATTGTAATGCTTCATTTTTAAAATAATCAGGTATCACCCCTTCTTTGGGCCCAAAAAATTCCCAAATTCAATTCACAGTAGAATTTTTTTGGAACCTACTTTTAACCCAAAAAATTAATGGTGCACTTAATATTTTCTGTCTTAGGGGCGTAAGTGTACCATTAATTCTCATATGTTTAACTCTCATATTTGTTTATTTTCATTATTAATGTAGCTATATAAAAATGTTTAGATTTTAAATAGAAATAAAATAGTTTTATTTTTATTAAGCTTCTTTGACTTTTACAGTCTTTCCTATCTTTGCCATATTGTGCAAAGACCTTGCAGTGTTTAGAATCATTGTTGCTGTTGCGTATTCCATTGGCAAATCTCCTGTATTCCTGTGTGCTTCGATTGCCAAAATCACATTCAAGAAAATCTCTGGATTTCCCATTCTGTCGATCCACAAATCCTGGAAGAAACTCGTGATGAAAGATCTAACGAATGTTCCGCAAGTAAAGATGATAAAAACATACAAACCATAGAAACCACCTGTACTTGTCAACAACGATCCAATAACAGCGTTGTAACTTGGTTTGCAATAAACAGCAGAACTCAAAGCTCCTTCTTCAACAAAATCAGGCATATCCTCTGTCTTGTTCACAGAAATCAACCAATAAAATTGTCCTGATGATTGTGATTTCATGAACTGCATAGACAAGTTGAAATAGTACTTATTAATGAATGTTGCTTCGTCGCTCAAAGGAATTGTGAAGTAAAGAGGTATCAAGTTTTCAATGTTCAATGACAAATTTTCTGGTTCTTGTGTATTTAATGTACAATTAATTATTTCTTTGAGAGTTTTAATTTGTTCTTCATCCAAATTGTTTCCTGTCTTTGTAATAGTTATTTGGTCTGTTGTCAATTTAGTTGTTGGAGATGTGGTTGTGAACTTGAAATTGACGTAAGGAATGAACTTAGTCATTTTATTCAATGCGTAATTCGCTGAAGAATCAGAAATCTGCCAATTTGTCAATGTAATGTCAGGATACTGGAAATACTGACTTTCTTTCTTATTATTCGAGTAAAAAGCATCTAACATTGGGTCATTCAAGTTGAGAATCTCTCTCTGCATCGTGTCACTGAAAATGTTGGATTCATCAGGTAAAACTGTACCAGACCAAATTTCTGGCAAACCGTAAATTCCTATTGAAACTGATGCCACTTTTACAGGATTTGGTTTTGATGTTGAACTTGAAGACATCATAACAATGAAAGGAACAAATAATAGAGCGAACAGAGCTAATATGAACAAATAACCAATAATATGCGATTTCTTTTTGTTGTCGAGAGGCCAAAGTTTCAAATAACTCAACTGTTTCATGAATTTCGATTTCATTTGTGAAATAATGAAGAAATCGAACAAATCTAATGATGTAGTACTTGCCAACCATTTGATCAAATAAATGAACTCGAATAAGAAAGGAACAGCGTTGACAATCAAAATTTTCACGTAAACAACTAATGGATTTGGATTTCCTATTGAAGGAGGAACTTTGCAAAATCCAAACAAACAATTGATAGATAAAATCATCTCTGATGTTAATCGCAAGAAGAAGAATAACCAGAAAGTGAAGTGTTCGAAACAACCGTTATTTGTAAACACAGGAATTAAAAATGACATGTAAACAAAAGTGAAAATTGAATACAACAAATTGAAAGAAAACAGCCATGATTTGTGTTCTGAAATTATGACCCATTGTATCAACAAAATGAACAAGAAATTGCCCATCAAGAAGAAAACAAAGTCATAAGTAATAGTCGCAGAGCCACTCAACATAGAATTGGCTGAACTCGAAATTGTCCACCCTAAATAACTAAAAAGTGACAAAATAAAAGCGGTTATGTCAATTGTAAAACATAACTTGTTGAAATGGTACTTGACAAATGATTTCATGTTGATTCTCTCTTTGATTTTCTCAGAAAGTGTCTTTTTGACGGTTTGTGACGGTTTTATGTTTCGAATTTGAGGGGGATGATTAAAAGTGAAGTGTTGAGAAGCGACAGACAAAATGAAGACAATATATAGATAAGCCTTTTGAGATTTATTGAGATCTAATCCCAAAACCTTCGAAATTTGGATTTTCCTGTATTTGTCTTCGACCAAAAAACTGGAAATTATGTCTTTGACGCCGTAACAACCTAAAATACATCTTAAAAGCATATAAACAATAGATAAGATGACAAAAGGAAGATAGGATTGTATATTAAAGGAAAGTGTTGTCAAAGAAAGGAAAAAGAACAAAATTCCGAAAATTGATCTTTCTTCCATTGGATAAAAGATCGCCATCACTAATAATAATGCAGGAATGATCTGTCTGGATATGACTTTCAAGTAATAATAAAATACTGAAAATCTTTCTTCGGGTGTCACTTTTTTGAGTTCCAATGGTTCGAAAATTTGGAAATGTCTGAGGAAAGAAAGAGGAATCGTCTTGACGAAATCGGTGTATTGGTCTGGAATCTGCAATACATGGTCGGACTTGTAGACAGAAACCATTGTTTCCATCATTTCTTTCAATTTATTCAAAAATCCAGTATGAACTCGTGGTTCTAAGTTGATATCCGTGAAGTATGTTATCATTACAGTAAGTCTATCGACCAATCTGACAACAACTCCCCAAATTAAACCGAATATCCACTTTAATAAAGAAATGTAGAATACTCTAGTAGAAGTAGGAACGACTACAGCGTTATTAGGATCATTACCAGCATTTTCTTGTTGTTCATTTGTTTGATTTTCCTGATTTTGTTGCTGATTGTAGTTTTCTGCTTCTTGTACTGGGACATCGTTGTTCTGAATATCATCCTGACGATTTACCATGGCTTCGAATTGAATTAAATCAGGAGATTCGGATGTCGTGTCGTTTGTCACGTTTAAACTGTAAACTCCTGCTTTGAGTCTGTCCAATTCTTTGTTGAAGTACTCGTCGCAGTATTCTTGGTCCAATTTGAACAAGTCTTGGATGATTATTTGTCTATCTTTTCTGTATTGGCATCTACGCTTCTCCTTGTTGTAGATATCGAGGTAGCTTGGACTATTGAGTGCATTGTTCAAAAGAAATTCGAGCCAGTAAACGAAAATCCACTGGAAATTATCTTTTCCTCTGAAACCGAAGATTCTGTCGATTTCTGTCTCTGATTGTGTGAATATCCTCAATGGTCTGAAAGATTTCATCAGAAGATTTCCGAAACAGTAGAAAATTGCCACTTTAAACGAGTAAATATGGAAATACTTGTTGTGGCTTGTATAAACAAGGTTAATGATGAGTAGCAGTGAATGAACAAGTATCAGATATGTTGTTCCTGTCAACGAAATGATGACAGCAACAATGGAACAAATAGTTGTGTAATATGCAGTCAAAAATGTTGGGCCAAGAGAGCCAGTGAGTGATCCGTACTCGCAGAACAAGCATAATGCGAACATTGTAAGGAAGATGTAGAAGATTTCGACCATTTTTACGTCATGAAGCAGTAAATAAGACATCCAATCATTTTTAGTGTTGATCGTGATGATCTTGAAGGTCAATACATATCCTAATATGATTGTTAATATGATTGTAATGAGTCTGGCCGAACATAAAGACAAATTCGGTTTAATTAAGAGAACGAAAACCAAAACGACACCGAAAATGCTGAGAATGTTCGATTCCTGTATGGCCATGATGGATAACGTCAACTCAACTGCAGATAATAAAATTGATGAAAGGGAATTTCCAACAAGTTTTACGTATTCTGAGATCTCCGTGACTCTGAAGTGCGACATATTGAGGAATGCGCACAAACAAACGATGACATTCGCAAATTTTGCAGTTGATGTGTTAACTAACGGTCCAATGAGCTTGAAAACCTTCTTTACGCTATCAGAAGTATTTGTTATGTCAATAGCAGTAACAACCAACACGTCCGCGATGAAAATAATATACAATAAAATTCCAATTGCGTTTGTTCTGACTCCTGTGACCTTTAGAACGCCTAATACCATGATCATGAGGGATCCTACTATGGAAACACCCTTTGAAACGATGACAACAAGGAAAATTGAGGACCAAAACAGGTAAAACGAGAATTTGATCGTAATTGCCCACAAATTGTTGATTATCAATTCCAAGAAATGTGGAATTTTTGTGTTTCCGTTTGGTTCATCGTACTTTCTTGAAATTGATGCGAAAACTGAGTACAAAATCAGGATAATATTAGGTAACATGATGTCTTTGAAGACATTTGGATTCTCTATGATGCCAAACAGCTTCAAAATCAACTCTTTCTTCTCGATATAAGGTTTAATTTGTTCGTAACTGAACAAAAGAATGGTTAGAAGGTGGCATGATGTCGAGGCTGAGTTGATAATCATGAGTACGGAGTGGAACTTGTATAAAAACAGGTTTCCGATGATTAATAACTGATATAAAACTGTAAAAATGGAATTTTGTATGTATATGCAGCTGAGACATAAACATACGAACACGCCAACTGTTTTTGAGAACTTTACAACGATCATTGGCGGTTGTCTGTAGTAATATCTCAAAATTGCGGTCAAAATGAAGAGAACAAGGAACGGCCAGACTTTTGAGAACATGACTTTTGGATCTTTGGTGACTGTGATATCGAAAAGCCACTCAATGTTGATTTTCTTCTTTAATAACGGGTTAATGAAATAAATACTAGTAGAAACAAACGTTATAACATTGAGGAAGGCCCAAACCCAATTGTAAAATAGTTTGAACCACAATATGAGTATCATACAGAACAGAGGGAAGTCAGAAGCTAAATAATGATATTGAGATGAGAAAATTGCGTTCAAAAGTACTAAACCAATGAAAATTATAGTGATAATATATTGTGCAATGACCTTTATCACCTGACTTTCCGTGTTTTGATGGTTAGGATTCGTTCTTATCATCGGATTACAATGAACGAAGACAGCTGAGATGGCTTGGAGGGTGCAGATGACAAGGTTGTACTTGGGATGATGCTCTGTTTTGTTCCTGGCCAGATCATCGAAGATTTGATAACAATATACAATTGCCAACGCTGTTAGAACGAATCTGGAGGCTTTTTGGAGGAACTTCAAGCCGAATAATGTTGTAAAGCATGCAAGAGCAAGAACTCCGAACGATTCCCAAGCATCTCTGCAAATACAGAAAACTCCACACGAAATTAAGACAACGTATGGTATAATATCCATAAACCAGGTAGGAGCAGTCGCGTTCTTGAACAATCTGATCGTATGAACTGTTGTATTTCGATTTACACCGATAATCATTCCCAAAAAGAGTAAATTCGTAGCTGCGCTTGATACGACAGCCCAGCGTGGAACCCAGTTGTAGCCGACTGGTTCCTTGAATGTTTGGTCTTTGTAGGCGATGAAAGCAAAATCAGCCAAAATGTAGATGATCCAGTAGATCCACGTAATCCAATTGGCAAGATTTAATGAGAGTAATGAGAATGAGATGATTGTAAGTGCGAAAATCACTGGCATGAAAGATAATTTTAATGAATTGCAAGAAGTAACTAAAACAGCTAATGTAAACAAGAATATTGGACGAATTAATACCATTAAATGCTTGATAATAACAAATCTCGATTGTTTGTACCACAGTAAAATAAATGTACTTCTGGATGTGAGATAGATGAAGTTTATGATTATCAAGACAATCTGAAGAACGAAATATGGTGTTTTGAAGAGATTCTTGTCTTCTTTGTTGAATAAATCTAATAATTTCAAAATTGGGGTGATTTTGACCTTTTTATTCTGCGGCATGTAATAGATACTTAGCTCTGCGATAACGTAAAGAGCTGAATATACTTGTGAGAGTAAAACAAATAGGAAAGGCCATTTATATAAAGAATTTGTCATAATTCGTACAGAATTCATACCGATTGAGTAGAAAAAGATGAATACCATGTGCAGTAGCGTACCTATGTAGGATGCTTCGCAAGCTGCGTAAATCCATAAAATAGGAAGAACCGCTTCGAGTAAACAAAGTAATTTACCCACAGAAAACTTGATTTCGTTTGTATCTTCTGAGGGCTGAATCAAGGTTGAATCCATGACTTCACGTAATTCAGTTTCTTGATTCATAATTTCTAAAAAAATTTTATAAAGGCTTTAAAAGGTAGTCTCACGAAAATACGTTATTTTCCCGATGCCTTGGAAGCAGCTTTGCAGGTTACCCGTAAGGTAACCAGTAGAAGTTTCTGAGCAAGGATGAAGAAGATTAAAGAGCCTTTTTATTGCAAACGCTATATTTGTAAGTGTCTTTGTAGAACTTCTCATAAATTCAAAGATTTCCAAAAACGAATTTTTCGATTTTGATATAATAAATGATATTTAAACAAATTATAGATGTGTTTGCAATTAAAAAAATCCGAGTTAACTACAATATCTTCAATTTTTGTCGTTCACTTTTTCATGTCATACTGATAGCAAGAATACTCACCCAATTTGGTTACACTTCATGATAGTTTGAAGTAAAAAAATGCCACAGTTTTTTTTATTTGATATCGTTATCTAAATTTTGTACAGAAATGGAATAAATTATAATATGAAACGTGTGTTATTATGCTTGTTGGGAAACAATCCAATACTTATGTCTGAATGAAATGATTATTTCTACGAGATTTTTCATATTCAGCTAATAATGCTATCAAAATCAAATAACAATAAAAAGTTATTTTGTACATAATGTAACTTAATCTTTAATACTATATATGTTTTTTATAATCAAATAATTTTTTAGTCCAGATAAATTTTTTAAAATTTCAAAGTCTTTCCATTCTACTAACGCTCTTCACATCCATATTCTTTACCATATATGTAATATAACGCCTTATTTTAATTCCCATGTTTACGATTTATTTGTCGAAAAACTGTCTTGCCCATTAACATCTCGCGAAAATTTTCGACTTTTTGAATGGCCGTTTTCAAGATCTCAAAAACTGTGGGATATTTTTTACAAAGCTAATCGACATTTATTTACCACATATATGTACTATACAATGCACCTGGTTTCATCGAATTTTTACCGTCAGTTTTCTCGTGAGACTACCTTTAGGCTTTATTTACTTCAAATTTGTAAAAAAGGACTGATAAATTGAGGGCTTATTTGAGGGGTCCATCTCTCTTATCTCCCATGCATTATGAAAGAATGGAACAGTGCAAAGGCCATATGATACTATTTCAAATGAGCCGATAAGGTTTTGTGCTTTTGCACCAATCTTTCGCAGCTAATTACCTTTCTACAGTGCTGTGATTAAATTTCGCAAGGGTTATACAATTTTATGAGAGAAATAACAAGTAAATGATGCTTAAACTAATATCTTCCATTGTCGATTTAAATTTTTTTTATATATATATATAGTGTTTAAGTGGGGAACTTTGATATTTTTTCCACACCATAGTAGTTTCACTTTTTGCATATGAACTCTATATTAATTCTGGCTAGAAACTAGAGAAATTAAAATTTTTCAATTTTTGGCCCATTAAAAGTACCTTTTTGAAAACTAAAAAATATTTTTATTAATTGCGTGTGATCTTCGACATATATTCATAAAATCAGGTGATTTGGAGTGATTGGCAAAAAAATCTTGTGCTATTTTCATGAAAGAGTTCTTGTTAAACGAATAAATATCTATATGTTATATAGAAATTCGTTTTTAGAAATATTGACAAAGTATTATTAGAAATTAAATAAGAAAATTTTTACAAATCAGCCTTAACAAATTCAGTTCCATTCCAATCGATTCTTCCACCAATGTTGATAACTAATTCCTTTCCATGTTCAGCATTTTCCATAAAGATGTCAAGATCTGTTTTAGCTGGCTTCATTCCCAGAGGAAATGTTCCATAATGCATTGGAGTGAGTTTAGCAGCTCCAATGTCCTTTGCCATATTCCAGGCATCTTTTCCATCCATATGAACTGTTCTCATCATTCCACTTGGAGCTGTTGGTCCAATACCAGCAATCATAAGGTCTGGTCCTCTTCCGATTGTCTCCTTGATTTCTGCAAAATGTGGGCCGATAGCTGTATCTCCAGTGAAGTAAATCTTCACATTTTCATATTCAATTAACCATGAACACCACAAAACTACGTTTGAATCGGATAATGAGCGTGCGCTTCCATGTCTTGCTGGGAAGCATGTGAAGTTGATGTCTTCGATAGTTAAATGTGTTCTCCAATCGAACTCAGTGTAATTTTTGATTCCCCAACTCGATAAAATTTTGCCAACTCCAAGAGGAACCAAAAAGTGACATTCTGGGAAAAGGGACTTGATTTTCTTGACTGATCCTTTGTTCAAGTGATCATAATGGCTATGAGAGATCAGCACGTAAGATATTTTAGGTAATTCCTCAATCTTGCATGCGGCAGGGGTTTTCCTTGAATTTCCAATTTTCAAAGGGGAGCAAGACTTCTCAAAAATTGGATCTGTTAGGATAAACTTGTCTTTGATCTGGATTAAGTTAGTTGCATGGCCAATCCACCAATCTCTTATTCCATTTCCAAGATTAAAATCTGATTTTGGATTACGATGTGGCATTTCTCTTGTTACATCCTTTTCTCCAAAAAAGAATTTGAAGAATAGTCTTGCTGTTCCCATTCCAATATCTTCATATTCTGCATATGGATATCCATGATTGTTAACAAAATAGCCATTTGCATGGTGTGCATCATTATATGACGGTAGGTTTTCTGGGATACAGCCATATACCTGCTGGTTGCTCTTCATCTTTTTGAAAAAATGATTGAACTCTTATCAAGTACCCATTCTTTTGAATTTTTCGCAAAAATTTTATGAAAGATAAATTATACATTTGGAATGCAAAGATAGTTTAGAATAAGAATTGATAAACGAAAAAACGATATGAGCTAGTTTGGCGAAAATTGATAAAAAATTTTGCATGTATGTGCAATTCAAATAGGTAAAGAATTTGTCCTTACAGCCAATGACTTATTTATCTAATATTTGAGAGAAAATTCTGATTATGGAATTCGGAGGATATTGAAATTGTATTAAAGAGAGGAAACAATATGAAATTTGGAGTTACTTCGCTATGGATGGGCATGCCAATAATAAAATGGGCATTATAACAAAAAACAATGAAAAATGAGAGAAAAAAATAAAAAGAAGTAGTGCAATTAATGTAATATAGCCGATATAATAAGAATATAAGTATATTGATCATTAAATCAGGCTTGACAAAAAAAAAATATAAAAAGCAACAGCAAAATTGAGAAGATACGTTATTTTAACAATTTGGTCATTAATAATAAATATGTTATAAGCATCAAAAAAAAGAATGTTTAATTTTTGAATCGTGAGAATGAAATCGCTTTGAAATTAGTTACATTTTTTCGGTTTGATTGAAATTAATCCTATAATGAAAAATGCACTGGATATATCTGATAGGTTAAAATAAATTAAACCATTCGGTTAATAAATTGAGGAAAAGTTTACAAAACTGAAATAAGAAATTATGAAATTTGAATCAGATACATACAAGAATTTGATATTATATAAAATTGATCAAAGATATCGAGTTTTATTGAATTTGATTATGTCGAATTTCAAGTTAAGATTTGTGTATGAATGATAATCTAGAAGCTATTTTAGTAAATAATTAAATTGTGAGAACTCTGAATTTACTTCGATTCTCTCAAAAATCTGGATTAATAGTAAAATTTGTTCTTTCGGTTTGAAACATAGTGATATGTAAGAATTCTCTGAAGTAAAAAATAAAATCACTCATAATTTAGAAGTATTCAAAAAATAATAATTAATTTTAGGATAATATTACTCAGCAATGTATCTACATTTATATTTTTAATATTTTAATTTGACATTTCTCAATATTATAAAATCAAAGTGCATTCTAAAGCAGCATCTATGATTCAATTATTAATAACTCTTATAGCATCTTGATTAATATAGTTCATATTTTATCAATGTTATCCTCATCTGCCAGGTTTTTGAAATTTTTCAGTAGTACGGTATTATTGGAAGTAAACAAATTAATATGGTATAATTCTTAGCCATATATCTAATTTTAAAGGAATAATCTATTTCGATAAACGTCTTGAATAATTGAATAGTTAAATTGAGAATGAAAATTTATCATTACTATCCAATACCTATCCTATTAACATCAAAAAATTCATAAAAAGCCCACAAATACAAAATTGAATTTGACGTAAATGGCTTAATCTCATTGAACCTTTCAATTTATTTTACGCTGCTAAATATTCATTTATAGATCACACAATTTCTAATCATATTACCAATTTTTATTTTATTTATCAAAAATTGAGAGCAATAATTCATTATTCAATAATGTCTACAAACTTTGCAGAACTCCTTCTTAAGCATGATTACCAGCTTGTAAAATACCTTAACAAAGGTACTTATGGTTCCTGCTATACTGTAAAGAGCCTTAAATATAATTCTTACTTCGTATGCAGGGTCGTTATCGATTTTGTAATTTAATCGTTATCGTCTTTTTCTAAACGTGCATTTTGGAACTAAATCGCATATAACTTTAAAATGACTTAATATTTAAAGGTTTATGTGGTAAATATCAACGAAATGTAATATTAATATGTGCACCATATATGAATTACAGACATTTGAGCAATTCGAAATTTCATCGCGTTATATATTCATTTAAATTCGATCAAATCAACATTGCAATTATAAAACCATTACACATCCAGTCAATATTTTTCAATTTCATGCGAATTATATCATTATTACACATTTTAAAATGGCGAAATATAGTCTAAAAAATAAACTTCGTTTTAAACTCAATTCTCACACATATTCGGATTAAATCATATGTGACTCATATGATCATACATCTCATTTGAGGTCTAAAAAATGATTTACCGAGAAAACGTGCATTCGAACTAAAATTTACTAAATTTAATCAAATTGGTTTACAAACGTAAAGTTTATGCCAAATATTTACGTTTGTAAACTAATTGAGTAAATTTATAGCACTTTTTTTCTCGATGCAATAATTTGAACTACGAGTTTACCAAATTAGTTTACAAACGTAAAGTTTATGCCAAATATTTACGTTTGTAAACTAATTGAGTAAATTTATAGCACTTTTTCTCGATGCAATAATTTGAACTACGAGTTTACTCAATTAGTTTACAAACGTAAAGTTTATGCCAAATATTTACGTTTGTAAACTAATTGAGTAAATTTATAGCACTTTTTCTCGATGCAATAATTTGAACTACGAGTTTACCAAATTAGTTTACAAACGTAAAGTTTATGCCAAATATTTATGTTTGTAAACTAATTGAGTAAATTTATAGCACTTTTTTCTCGATGCAATAATTTGAACGACAAGTTAATGTAATTAGTGTTCTCATGTTTACAATTCAATATGTCTATGCATATGATATATGCAAATTCTATAAATAAAATATTATTAAATAAAATTCTTTTCAATTCCTTAAAAATAGCGTTTCTTTTGAATAAAAAATGATTTTTAACTAATTTTAGGACTCTTTCTATTTCAAAAAAATACCTGAATTTAATTTTCTGATGCAAAATTTATGCTTTTTATCATGAAATTCTTTTTTTCAAAATTTTTTTGGATTTTTTTCCATTTTGAATATAGTTAATTTTACTTTATTTCACATTCTATTAAGAAATACTTAGGCCAATCCCTGTGGGACCCAGTGGTAAGCTTTTTTAAAAGTTTGGACAGGCCTAGAAATACTATATATATGTAGATTGAATTCTTTTATTTTGGCACTTTTTATTTTTTTAATGTTTTTTTTTCTCCAACACTCAGCCCCCAATTCAAATCAAGCATTTACCAACGTAAAATACCGGTATTCCAATCAATAAGAGGACAGTTCTGTCAAGACCCTTCCTGATTTGAAGGAACTTGAAAGAACTGCTCTTTAACCGACTTCAAATAAGAAAATTTCACTCATATTATCATGTTAACATCGAAACTACTGCCATTTAGAGGGCAGTTCTTCCAAGATCTTCCAAATCTTCGAAGATCTTGAAAGAACTACTCTTAAAATGGCAGTAATTACCGTAACTTTCTACTTGATAGTAACAATACCGAAGCTACAGCCATTTAGAGAGCAGTTCTTCCAAGATCTTCCAAATCTTCGAAGATCTTGAAAGAACTACTCTTAAAAATGGCTGTATTGCGAGAGGGTTTGATTTTTCGTTTATTAAAATTGTATTCTATGATATAATTTAATTCAAGATTTGTATTTCTGTTATTTTTGTGATATCATTCAAGTATATATATCAGAATATGCACATAATGATACCACATATACTTAAACTATACGTATTTAAATCTTAGCGATCAATATAATTTTTTTTTGTAATATCGAATAAAAGTTTGTTTTCGCATTTCCGTTTTATTTTACTACAAGAAGATAAGAATTCTTGAGAACGATTTTAAATAAATTGCCAAATTGAAGAATTCGATATATGATGATATTCACTGATTTCTGCCAAACTTGTAGGAATGAATCCATTTAGAATAAAAACGATTTGTGCATTGGAAGCTCAGAACAAGTTATGTTCATTATCCCAATATGAAGAAAATGCACGTTTAGAAAAAGACGATAACGATTAAATTACAAAATCGATAACGATAACGATTAAATTACAAAATCGGTAACGACCCTCGTATGCAAGTCAAGCAATTGTGACAACTTAACAGAAAGGTACTTTAATAGCTTCATGGGTGAAGCAGAGATCCTTTCCAACCTCAATCATCCAAACATTGTCCGCATCTATGACTACTTCATTGAAGAAGGCCATTTCTTCATTATTCTTGAATATTGCTCTAAAGGAAGTCTTTTAGACATCCTCAACGTTCAGAAGCATATGCTGAGGATAATCTGAGCAGTTTGAGGATAATCTGAGGAGTTTGAGGAGTAGTCTGAGGAGTTTGAGGATAATCTAAGGAGTTTGAGGATGATCTGAGGAGTTTGAGAATAATCTGAGGAGTTTGAGGATAATCTAAGGAGTTTGAGGATAATCTGAGGAGTTTGAGGATAATCTGAGGAGTTTGAGAATAATCTGAGGAGTTTGAGGATAATCTGAGGAGTTTGAGGATAATCTAAGGAGTTTGAGGATAATCTGAGGAGTTTGAGGAGTAGTCTGAGGAGTTTGAGGATAATCTGAGGAGTTTGAGGATAATCTGAGGAGTTTGAGGATGATCTGAGGAGTTTGAGAATAATCTGAGGAGTTTGAGGATAATCTGAGGAGTTTGAGGATAATCTGAGGAGTTTGAGGATAATCTGAGGAGTTTGAGGATGATCTGAGGAGTTTGAGAATAATCTGAGGAGTTTGAGGATAATCTGAGGAGTTTGAGGATGATCTGAGGAGTTTGAGGATAATCTGAGGAGTTTGAGGATGATCTGAGGAGTTTGAGAATAATCTGAGGAGTTTGAGGATAATCTGAGGAGTTTGAGGATGATCTGAGGAGTTTGAGGATAATCTGAGGAGTTTGAGGATAATCTAAGGAGTTTGAGGATAATCTGAGGAGTTTGAGGAGTAGTCTGAGGAGTTTGAGGATAATCTGAGGAGTTTGAGGATAATCTGAGGAGTTTGAGGATAATCTGAGGAGTTTGAGGATGATCTGAGGAGTTTGAGGATAATCTGAGGAGTTTGAGGATGATCTGAGGAGTTTGAGGATAATCTGAGGAGGAGTCTGAGGATTAGACCGAGGAGTAGTCTGAGGAGTTTGAGGATAATCTGAGGAGGAGTCTGCGGATAATCTGAGGAGTAGTTTCAGGAGTAGTCTGAGGACTAGTCTCAGGACTAGTCTGATGAGGAGGACTCTAAGGAGTAGTCTGAAGAGTAGTCTCAGGAGGAAGATCTGAGGAGGAGTCTTATGAGGAAGATCTGAGGACTAGTCTGATGAGGATGACTCTAAGGAGTAGTCTGAAGAGTAGTCTCAAGAGGAAGATCTGAGGAGGAGTCTTATGAGGAAGATCTGAGGACTAGTCTGATGAGGATGACTCTAAGGAGTAGTCTGAAGAGTAGTCTCAGGAGGAAGATCTGAGGAGGAGTCTTATGAGGAAGATCTGAGGAGTAGTCTGATGAGGAGGGGTCTAAGGAGTAGTCTGAGGATGATGAGTAATCTGATAAGGAGTAGTCTGAGGATGATCTGAGGATAACCTGATGACTAGTCTAGGAGTGGTCTAATAAAAATGTAAAATATTTTCAAAGAAAAAATTCTATGAATTTTATATTTTAATTCTTAGCATTATACTGAATCAAATAAACATAAATATCAAAATTTGAAATTGAACACGCCAAAAAATTGATAATCCACATTCAATATTTTGTAAGTGGCGTACATTTTGAATACTCGCCATACGCCTTAGAGTTCTCAATTTTGAATTCGCCTTTATTTGGGCGACCTCAGAAAAATACGCCATTAAGAAAATATTGTATGAGATTTTAAATTTGAACACGCTCTACCTTAAGGAATTAAATTTATTAAGATATATTTATATATAATAAACGATTACTTAAAAAAAAGTATTTCATCGCTTATGTAAGTTCAAAAAAATCACGAAAATAAAAAAATCAAGATTAAAATTTTATTTTTAATTTTTGAATTTCTCAAATGGCGAAATTTTTGGGCGAACAAAAAAATGTACGCCCGGTCAAATGGCGTGTTTAACGCATCCCTATTTCATATTTTCCATTCAAAAAAAAATTCTAACTTGAAAAAAATAAAAATAATTTAAACAATCTTCACCTTAATTTTATAAGAAATTTCAAAAATCAAAGCAAATTCCTCCTAAAGAATCTTACAATGCTTAACTATCTACGAGCTTTTACGCAAGAATAATATCAAAAAACCAATTTTATTCAATATTGATTTCCCGAAATCTTTAAAGATAACAGAAACTTCTTGCCTAAACAATCATACCAGTAAAAATAAGATGCGATATTTAAACAAACAATACAAACAAAGATTTTTAGTAAAAAATAAAAATAAATCAAGAGAAAATAAGAAGGGTATACCTTAAGGATTAGCATTATTTTGATTACCATTGATGTTTTTGATCAACTTTTTGATTACATTCTTCAGCATCAAATCTTTTTCAAAAGATTTTGTTGCAATTTCAATAACTTGACGATTGATCAGCGTCTTTCTTGATTTCTTGTATTTAGAAAGGGAAAGAACTATTCGTAAGCTTTGTTCTCTAATATCGTCATTATTATCAGCAAAATACTGAACGAAATCATCGATGGCATACAGAATGTCATGTGAATACGTTTTCGAAAGAATATAGTCAATTGTCTGAAGCAAAGACAGTTTGATAGAAGATTTTCCTTTTTCCATCTTTCGAATCAAGATTTTAAAGAAATCAACAGATTCTAAAGAATCTTTAAACTCATTGTCAATGTCCAAAGCATTGAAAATATGTGGTAATGTCGATGCAGAACGTTTTGAATTATATTTAAGGATAGAAACAAGGAAAGGTGGCAATTCAGGGGCATGAACAATCAATTTACAACATTCATTGTGTTCTAGGATCCTTAGTAATATTGTAATTGAAGAATTTAAAGTTGGAAGCTCGTAAAGAAGCCAATTGGTCCTTTCACATAGTTCCATTGCACTGCTTTGCTTCTTTACCAACCTCTGGACAAGAGAAGCAGCGTTTTCTGACTTCCTGGCAAATTTTATTATTTTGTAAACGAGTTTTGGAACTTTTGGAAGCTTCTTTACAACAAGAAGTAATTGGATACAATATTGGCTGATGTTTTTATCATCTAAATCCGAAATAATTTTATCATACGGAAGATTCATCGAAGAATCATAGAAATCAGTGATTGTTTGATATGCTGATATGACTGTATCCTCATTTTGTGACAAAATAAATGAAGGAAACAGTTTTTTGCACGAATCAAACCTGGATTCTTTGAAAACAGGGAAATTTCGGAGTAAATCAGCTAAAATTTTCAGAAATTGGGATCCTTCTTTGATGTCTATGAAGATTTTGTAGTTTTTCAGCATATTATCAAGTAATCCCCACGGATTTTCAATTAAATCAAACTTTTCTGCGAATTTCGACATCAGAATCAATGACTTCTTTGGTTTGGCCGCAAACAACCTCGTCATTACTTGTTTGAAGTTCTTTTGGAAAATTTGAGGTTTAATTGTGAAAATATTGGTCAAAATCATCATGATTGCGTCCAAATAATCAATGTCATCGTAAGGAAGAATGGTTTTGAACGATAATTTATCAAATTCATCACAAATTTCTTCATTTTTCATGATTGAAGCGACTGTTTCAAGAATTTTCAAGGTTTTTTCCTTGTTTGAACTTTCTCTGATATGATTATGTGCTATTGACAAGAATTTTTTGAGAATTTTGATTTCCATTTTTTCATTAATTTTCGAAAGTTCAATTTCAAACAAAGGATGGTTCATATCCTTGATGACATTCAAGTTTATCGTGGATTTAGAGGCGTAATAAGGAGAATTTACATTTGCAAAGATTTTCTCAGCTTCTAAGTCTTCATCATCGATATTTCGACTCTTTACAAGATTAATTGCAGGTGTTCTGATAGAAGGTGCTATTTCTCGGTCAGATTCTGAATATTCGTAATAATATTCGAACATTTCTGGCGCTTTTTGCCGGGATTGCTTTGGTTTCTTTGGTTTGTGTATGTAGACTTCTTCTTCGCTTTCAGAATTATCAAATGGTAAAGAAACAACATTTTTTGAAGGAAATTTCGCAATTCCAGTCAGTTTTGTAGGTTTGTTTGTATCAGGATCGGAACTGTTTGAATAGGAAATGTTCGATTTTAATCTGTATTGACGACTCGAAGAATAATTTGAATTTAAACTTTTCTTTGACTTTATTTTTGAATCTAGCTCGAATATCTTAGGTTTCAAGGCATCAGAATCAAGTGTGAATTGAATCTTCTTGTTCTGATTCAAGATTTTTTCTTCACTCTCTTCTGATTCAGATTCTATGATTTCTGGCTCTTTTTCTGTAGTTTTTGACTTGATATTTGACTTATTCTCTTCTTTAGGAGGTTCTTTTTCCCTTGGTTTATGGATATAAACGGGTGGTTCTGCAATAAAATTTTCATTTTTCTCAAAAGGAATCGTTCTGACTTTAGAAGTCTTTTCATCCGTTTTTCTGTATATTTCTGGTTTCGCTCGTATATACATTGTCCTTATTTCGATAGATTCAGCAAATTCTTTAATTTCCTCTTGATTCGTATCAGGAAATGCAACTTTTCCTGTAGCAAACATCTCGTAGATCAATGAGAAAGGCGGCCGAACAAACAAATTCTCCGACCAACAGTCAGAAATTAATCTTTTCAAATTTGGCGGACAATTGTAAGGAATCGGCTCTCTTTTGCCTTTAATAATCATTACATTGAAATCTTCGGGAGAAGCATCGAAAAACGGCACTTTTTGAGTTAACATTTGAAATAAAATTACTCCGTATGAATAAACATCGCATTTCTCGTCGTAAGCGACTCCATTTTGGATAACTTCTGGAGCCATGTAATATCTCGTTCCAATTTTGTGAGTTGGAGTCGAAGGTTTATCAAATTCTCTTGTTAGGCCAAAATCGCAGATTTTTGGTAGAAAATCGTTGTCGAGTATAACATTATCTGGTTTAAGATCACGATGCATTAGTTTTTGTGCATGAAAGAACGACATTCCGCTTGCAATTCCCATTGCAATTTTTGTGAGTGTTGTGCCTGTTCTTTTACTCTGAAATTGCTTGTCATGTATGAATTCTCTTAAATTTGCGTTAGAAATGTACTCTGTGACAATGATATACGGTGGAGCATTAGAAAATCCAATTAAACCAAGGAGAAATGGGTGTTGACATCTATATAATGCACACACTTCTGATACAAATCGACGTTCAAGTGCTTCTGTCATTTCAACCTTACAAACTTTGACGGCAACTTTTTGATTTCGAAAATAGCCTTCTTTCACAACTCCAAATGCACCAGAATTGATTGACCTTTTGATTACTACATCTGTGTTTTTAATCAAAAATGGTTTGAGCTCCTTAGGAAATTCTAAAACCCAATACTTTTTCGTCATAGAAGCTGTCAGTTTTTGGAATTGATAGTCGCACGCAAATTTCAGTAAATTTGGAATTTATATCTAGATATGTGACTAGTAATACATTTTAAATATGTGCTATGACGACAAAATTATAGCAATCTGCGATAAATTTTTTTTGATCGTTTTTTATAATTTAGAAAAGTGTCAGTCTTAGATCTTTCAATCTCTGAATTTTAGCGAAATTTCATCTAAAATACCAAAATTTGAAATTGAGAGTTCTGTTGATTATCCACTCATGTAACGCACAATATTTTATCAGCAAATTGAAATCATTTTGCATTACGGAGTTCTTTCATAATTAATTGCTACATAACGGCTTCAAATCAATATTTTTAATGTCAGCCGTTGAAGATATATCGTTATTGTGAGCTCATTTGATAATATACAATATATTTCGGAGTAGGGGTAATTTTAGCTAAAAGTGACGCGCCTGTAAAAAGTGACACACCCGTGAAGGGTGTGATTACCGATCGGTAATTTCGACAGTTTAGAATTTAAAATTTTTTATGGAACTGTTGCGAGTTTCATAAAGAATTTAAGGAATATAAGCAAAGATTTGAATCAAAATCTTAGACCTAAGCCGCTCGATTCGCTCGCGGCTTCCGCGAATTACAGATCAGCAAAGATTTGAATCAAAATCTTCGAACTAAGCCGATCGCTTCGCTCGCGGCTTTCTTTATTATTTTAAATTTGCATATTTCCATCAAAAGTTCATAAGGTAAAAAATTTCGTTTATTTTTACTAAGAAAAAAAAGGTTTTTGATAATAAATTTATTTTATTTCGAAAAAGTAGCAATAATCGTAAAAGGGTATTGATAGGCTTGCTAAAGTAACTAATTTTAGCTGTCAAATACTTTTGTATTTTGAAGTAAATTAGTATAAATTTGTTTTTACTTTTATTTCGAAAAAGTAGCAATAATCGTAAAAGGGTATTGATAGGCTTGCTAAAGTAACTAATTTTAGCTGTCAAATACTTTTGTATTTTGAAGTAAATTAGTATAAATTTGTTTTTACTTTTATTTCGAAAAAGTAGCAATAATCGTAAAAGGGTATTGATAGGCTTGCTAAAGTAACTAATTTTAGCTGTCAAATACTTTTGTATTTTGAAGTAAATTAGTATAAATTTGATATTATTTTAACTCCCTTTGAAAACCTCAATTTTCCATACAGAGGGAACGGGAATAGCATCCAATATTCCCTGAGAATGGTTGCGCATTCTCAGTTCCCTCTATATTTCGAACGAAGCTCTCATCGGTCTTTTTTTTAATACTAAACGTTTTTTCCCCCTGTCACTTTTAGCTAAAATTTGGGTTTGCCATATATTTCGTTGTTCAGTAAATCATGTATAAATATTAATACCAATGTTTACATTTTGAAAAGATCTTTTTTATAATAATTATAAAATTATATCAAATTCAATTGTATTCAGAATTATAAAATTCTTTGCAATATTGTGACATGTGAACCACATACTAAACTATTGAGAGTTCAAATAGCATATAAATTTTGTGGGGACAAGTTCACATCAGAGAATACTGAAAAATAGTTGTGGCACTTTTGCATGCGTATAAATACCACTGAAAGAGTATTGTGAAACTATTAATATATATATTCACTTTTTAATCATCGTTCTTCCTCTGAAAAAATCAATATTTTGAATCTATGGATTTTTAATTTTTTTGACATCTAGTGCTAGTTGATCATTTTCATGATTGTTGCTTTAATTCTTCAAAGGACGATTCGCATTAAAGAATATTCATTTCATAAAAAACTTGAGAATGATTATCAGGATTACATTCATACATGGGATGAAATATACCAAATTAATTCAGATAGCAACATATCAATAGCAAAATTATTCAAAGAAATCAAGACTAACTTGATTGACACTGGATATTTTACACCACAAGAGATGATTAAAAAGATAAACAAAGCGAGTGAATCTCGTTTACGTTATCGCCATGCATACATAAAGATAATGAATAAATTAGCAAAAGAATATCATTGCGAAAACATGTTAAAAATATCATCACTTTCAGAGTATGATAATCTCATTAAAAATACATATCAAGAAGCAATATTAAATGATGACGAAAAATCATTATTGGAATTCATGAAACGTGAACGACTTGATCCCAGTGAATTACTTGCAAATTGTAGTTTAAATGGAGCAGAAAATTGTTTCAAGTTATTAAGAACAAAATTTAATGCGAGAGTCACTAAAAATTGTGTTGCCAATGCATTTAGAGGAAACAATAAATATATAATAAAAGAATGTTTGAAAAAACAGCAGCCTGATTCATCTTCAATGGAAGCTGCAATAGCATCTCATGATATCAGTAATCTTTATCAATTGATTGATGAATATCACTTCCAAATTTCAAGTTTCAACTTTCCAATACTTTCCATATGTTATGAATACCAAAATCTTCATGTATTTATTGTTTATTTAATTCGATCTAATGATTTAGACAGATGTTTAGAATTTTCTCCTGTTTTTCATATTCGATCTCTTTGTAGATGTCTGTATAATAATGGTGGAGACGTTAGAGAATCAGGTCCCGATGATGCCACAGCTCTTCAAATTGCAATTTATGAAAATCAAACTGATATTGCAAAAGATTTAATTTCATTTGGAAGTGATATCAAAGCAATGGCTCCAAGAAATGGAAATCCAATTATTTTTGCTGTATCTTCAAACAATTCTGAATTGGTGGAGTTACTTATTTCACGTGGAGCTTATGTCAACATTCATGATCCAAGAACTGAATTTTCACTGCTTCATATTGCAACTATCTTCAGAAATAAAAAAATTATTGAAATCCTAATCAAACATGGTGCATTTGTAAATGAAAATTCGAACAAATTTGGAGTTACACCTCTTATGTTGGCATCACTTTTGAATTATAAAGATATTGTAAAATTACTTATTTCACGTGGTGAAAGAATAAGCAGAACAGATAATTATGGAAATAATGCTCTTGCTTATGCTTTATTGTATAACAATAAAGAATTCATGGAACAAATTCTTAAACGTTTTAACTCAATGTTCCAACATTTTGATTATCAATTATTTGATTTGGAAAGCAACAACAAAGATATGATCAATCTTCTAATTTCATATGGTGCAAATATCCAAAAACAAAATAAATTTGGAAATTCACCTCTACATATAGCGGCATTAATGTCTAATGGCGAAAACACAAAACTTTTAATTTCTCAAGGTGTAGATATAAATTCTGTAAATAATAACGAAGAAACTCCCCTTGATATCGCTATAATGCGTGGTAAGAGAGAGTTTAACAAAGAGTTTCATGATTTTGAGGAAGAAGACTACCAGAATTTTATTGATTTTTTGGAGAAGAAAAGTGATATTGTATCTATCTTATTATCGAATGATGGTGTAATATATTCTAACAAGGAGTTCAAAAGCAATGATATCATACATATAATGTTTGACTATTTCTGGGAAAGATACAAAATCATCTATCCAGGAATAATAACGCTAGTAATCATATTAGGAATTATCTATGGATTGATAAAATTAAATCAATGTTTAACTAATCGCTTTATTAAGTTGATAATAAGATCTTTACAATGGATAATTATTGGAATTAATTTTGTTTTACCAATGTTTTACCTCCCACTTTCGATTTATGCGCATTATTATAGGTTAGATATTTTTTTGGGATTAAAAATATTATAAAGCATCTTATGATTATTCCTTAATATTTTTGTCACCACTTTCTCAATATTAAAAGTAACTCATAATTACTAATAGAATAATAGCTGTCATACTTTTTATAATACAATGTCTGCATTGAAGATAAAACAAATATTACTCAATAATTAGAAATGAGTATGAAGAAACAATGATTCAGCTTGCTGGATATTGTTACTCTCTGCTATAGTGAGGTTGTGCCCAGCAGCACTTGTATATTCGGCTCCTACTCTCAATTAAAATATAATTATTGTAAAGGAAATCTTGTAAAAAGCAATAGAGACCAACACCGATATGGAAATATAGGATATCACAGGGCCTTTATAATGGTAATTTATGGTTTTTTTTTCTAATATTAAAGGTGCACTTACCACTTTCTGACATTCTCTCAATTTTTTTTGACATTCATACTTTATAGCCCAATTTTCTAAGGTAAAAAAAAGTATGAATGTTCGGGAAAAAGTTACCATAATTAACTGCCTAGTACCTCATATGGCGGTTATACTTTTTTGTTGTTAAAATAAAATGATAGCATATCAGAAAGTGTTAAATAAATTTTAGAAAAATAGAAGATTAAAAAAAAGTAAATCAAATATATTTTATCATATTGAAATAACAAGAGGAATATCAACAGTTCTATCAGCAGGAGTGTCACCATCAGTTGTTTTGAGGTGCCTGCAGTACAAACAAAGAATTATCATTGAAACAATGATTGTTAACAAGAAAATCATGTAAATTGCAACCAAAATCAGCAATTTCGAGTATCTGTTATCTACAGGAGATATTGAACAAATGCTTTCTGACGGAGGACACAAAATTTCCGTGTTTCCAAATTTAATTTTCTTTCCAGAATAACAAATACGAGGAACACGGCCAATTTTAATAAACAGAGTTCCATATTCGTCACAGAACATTTTGTAGCATCCTGCAAACGAAGTTCCATCATTTCCTTCTGCACAAAAAGAATTTTCTCCAAATTCTTCTTTTCGACTGATGCTTTTATCAGTTTTAGACTCAGAATTAGAACACAACTGTCCTTTTGGTATTTTTACGTTCTGGTATTCAAATTCTTTGTAAAATGAAATCAAATTTAAATTATTTGGATTTGAATAGTTGATTTCGCTGCAATAATCAGCTAAACTAGAGTGATAACAGCTTGGTGTCGTATCTCCAGCACATTCCGACCTTCCTTTGTAATCATAAGAACAAATTTCTCCTTTTTGGTCGTTTTTACAGAAATAATTGGCCGGATACGTTTTCTGAGGTGATTCAAATGGGAAATCTAACCGTTTTTTCTTTCCAACCGTTGTTCCATTTCCCCAATTTATTTTTTCAAAATTAAATTTGGAATCTGAGAGTTGGTAGAAGCCAGTACTCATTAAAATAGACTTAGTTGCATCCGAAATAACCTTTGACGGCATGGAAACTGTGTTCATTATATCAGAAAAATAAACAATTCCAGATGTATGACTTGTATAGTCATTTCCGGTTAAATCAAGTTCTATACCATTTATATTTTCAATTGGCTTGTTGCCAAATCTGTTATCCATGAATTTTCTCGTTGATGGAGTATCAACAACAAAATAATCTTTGTTGTACTTGTTATAATGCAATTTCTGTATTGGAGATTGCTTGTATTGAGTATTTGTAGCGTTATCAATCCAATAATTAACTAAATTCTTGGAAATTCCGAGAATATGAAAAACTTGATGGAGAATTTCTAAGAAAAACTCTCTATTTGGCATATTCAATGACTGATATTTCGAAGGAATTGCTTGTGGATCTATAAAAATGACTCCTTGAACTGGTCTTCCTTTATATAAAACTTGAAAAACGGATCCCATGTTTGTATCATATACGTGTTGTAGTTTTCTGACATATACACTAATAAAGAGATCTGTATCAACTAGTAATGATTCATTAATTGGAAAATCTAAAATTTTGGCCGGAGAAATTGGCTGATTTAAAGGTTCTACTAGTAGAAAACTATTAACGAGTGATTTTACTTCGTTAAATGTTTGTTGTAGCGCTAGTTTTTGCTCTTCTGTTATTATATCTTTTGAAGTACAAATATACATATCATTTGCTAATGACCATCGAACTACTTGATCTTCATGTTCACACATTTGATTATCAGAGTTGGACATCACGCTGGATAAATCAAAATGAATATTTATCTCTTTCTTTCCTATTGCCTGCGTTTGTGGTCCAACTTCAATATTTGTTAAGTTGGTTATTTTCGATTGAAACACGTCATGATAGCATTTCTTAATCGCTATAAGCGATAGGAACATGCTGCGAAAGCAACAAATGGCAGAAACAATACTGAAAGTTAGAGAATACTCATAGCATATTGTTATGTGTTGCTATATTCAAATCATGCACTTCTAAGAATATCAAAAAAATATTCGAAAAGTTTATATACAACTTGTTACTTTTTAAATACGTCTAAAATCACTTCAATTACAAACCATTTCATGAATATTTAATGTTCATCTCATTTGATTTGTATCAATTGATTAGATCAAAAGAATCCTGAGAATTCATATTAAAATCAGCGGTTATACCTTTTAAATAACAAATGCACATTGGATACACAATACAAAATTAGATATATTTTTGATCAAATACCTCATCCATTATATAATGGTCAGATCCTGCAAATATAATCCTCAGAGTCGAGTATGATGGAGATTGTCCTTATAATGGACTATCTCTCCAAGACTTGATCCTTAAAGATAGAATTATCTAGACTTTGACCTAAGGATGCGACTACTTCGCATCGGCCATTTGACCTTAAAACAAAATACATAAATTTCATTACCTTAAGACTCTGTTTCTTTTCTACTTTTCTCTGCTGCAATATGAAGAACGGTATCGCCAAATAACACCTATCGTCGAAACTCAGACTAAGTCCTTTTATATTTTCACATGATATGCGAATTGGAGTTTCCTCATTCGATATTCGTAACAAATAAAAAAATTGCGATTGCAATTCTCCAGCAATTTTTGGCAAACCCAAATTTTAGCTAAAAGTGACAGGGAAAAAAAAACGTTTAGTATTAAAAAAAAGACCGATGAGAGCTTCGTTCGAAATATAGAGGGAACTGAGAATGCGCAACCATTCTCAGGGAATATTGGATGCTATTCCCGTTCCCTCTGTATGGAAAATTGAGGTTTTCAAAGGGAGTTAAAATAATATCAAATTTATACTAATTTACTTCAAAATACAAAAGTATTTGACAGCTAAAATTAGTTACTTTAGCAAGCCTATCAATACCCTTTTACGATTATTGCTACTTTTTCGAAATAAAAGTAAAAACAAATTTATACTAATTTACTTCAAAATACAAAAGTATTTGACAGCTAAAATTAGTTACTTTAGCAAGCCTATCAATACCCTTTTACGATTATTGCTACTTTTTCGAAATAAAAGTAAAAACAAATTTATACTAATTTACTTCAAAATACAAAAGTATTTGACAGCTAAAATTAGTTACTTTAGCAAGCCTATCAATACCCTTTTACGATTATTGCTACTTTTTCGAAATAAAATAAATTTATTATCAAAAACCTTTTTTTCTTAGTAAAAATAAAAATGTTATTTTATATCAAGTTTTTATTCATAAATTTTTATAATGTTGTATAAATTTGAAGGTGGAAATCTGTAATAATTTTATCTTGAAAAGACTTGGCATTCTCAACAATGAATTGAGGGGTATTGCATCCAAATTCTGTAATTTGCGTGAGAATACTAAGCTTGATTTCCATTGGGATACTTAATTTCGAAAAATACTGGGTCATTCGTTTTTGAACCTTTGCTGCCTTGACAACTTTATCAAGTAGGTCATCTAAACCCAATTGAAGCGTATTTAAGTTTGCTGATGAGTTAACTATTAACGATTTAATTTTATCAGTGAGCATTATACATTTTTCTGTATCCAGTCTGATTGTAGACTTTTTTGGCTTTTTTTCAGATGGCAACGGATTTGGAATTTTGTCTCTGAGCCTTATATCTTGAGAAATTCTGTAATAAAATGAAGGAACGATAAAATCGATTAATTTCATCACAAATCGATCAAATCTCATGAAAATTGTTCCGCCAAAGTAGTAATATTTAATTTTTTTGTTAATCGATTCTGAAATGTTATTTGTGAGAGCTAAATTTTCATCTCTTTCAGCGGCTGTCCATCTTTCTTGGTTTGATATCCATTGATTTTGTATGTATTTTGAAAATTCTGGGAATTTTTCGGCTATTTCCAGAATTTTTTTGAACGTTGGTTCAATCCATTCTTTCTTGCCATTTCTGCCGTATGCAAGATAGTTCATTTTTGTATCTAATATCAATTTGTCTGAACTCTCAAATGCATAATCTTTCAAATTTTTTCTGAACGCCCTCATTACATGAACTGCACACCAATGAAGGATAACTTCTGGAAAAGAGTTGATAATCGCATTTTCGATTTCTTGTGCACAATCTGACATAAAATATTTTGGTTTTACTTTTGCCCAGTTAAAAAATGCCTTGAGACAGAATGCAATATTTTCTGAAGTGTTTGGATAAACGACAAATTGAAAAATTGGGAATGCATGTGTATTTGGAAATTTGGCTGATATCATGTAAAACAACATTTTAAATTCAAGTAATGAATGGGTTGCATCAATAAAATGCTCTTTCACAATTTTGATTATGTCCAGAAATTTGAAAGAAGCATAATAAAAGATTAATTTCTTTGGTTTGTTGTAATTATCGACATCGAAATAAATTAAATCTTTTGGTGACTCTTGTTCTTTGATACCCTTAAATAATTGAGTTGACTTGAATTGATTATCATCGTACTTTTGAATACCTTTGATCTTTTTATTTTTTTTCCTGAATTGTTTTCATTTGATCTGAAGATGCATTCAAAAAAGATGGCCTGTTAAGTGGATCATCCAGATCAAGTTTTTTGTCGCATTCAATTTGAGCCATTTTCGGATCACCCCCTGTTTTATAAAATTAATAAGTACCCGACGATAGCATTGTGATAATGTGTGGTATTTCTTTGTCTCATCTTTGATTTGATTGTGATTATGTGTTCCATTATATTCTGTTAGGATATATTCTTCATCATCCTTTAGAAATGAGATACATGCTTCACATTTATCTGCACTGCACCTGAATTTTAATTTTGTTCCCCCTAAATTTGGATTTTTTTTAATTGATATGGACAACCTGCATGGCATTCGTTATCAATGACAGCTTTCATAGCATCTATATAAGATAGCCTTTCTTTAAGTTCGCATGGTGCATCGATATGCATCAAAAAAATGAAATGAAATTTCAATATCAAAAAAAGCACAAAATTTGAAAAAATTCACAAATCTCGGTTTCTGAAAGAAAATGGCCTCTTAAACTTTGTGCATATATTCATCTATAAGACACATTGTATCCATATATTATTTAGCCAACACAACTTATCTGGTATCGAGAAAATTCAAAAAAAGCACAAAATTTGAAAATTGCTCGGTTCTACATTCAAAATAAATTTCATTAATTTTTACGTACATATTAAGGTACTTATCTTCTACATATATAATCTTCATTAGATATATACATGATAAATAAAATTCATAAAACATTAAAAATCAAAAAATTAGATGAACCTTGGCAATTAAACTTTATTAAATAATAGTTGTTTATAAATTATATTATATTATCATTTAATATTATTTTGATAATGAAGATTTTATTTTGCAATAATATAAACGAAATTTTTTACCTTATGAACTTTTGATGGAAATATGCAAATTTAAAATAATAAAGAAAGCCGCGAGCGAAGCGATCGGCTTAGTTCGAAGATTTTGATTCAAATCTTTGCTGATCTGTAATTCGCGGAAGCCGCGAGCGAATCGAGCGGCTTAGGTCTAAGATTTTGATTCAAATCTTTGCTTATATTCCTTAAATTCTTTATGAAACTCGCAACAGTTCCATAAAAAATTTTAAATTCTAAACTGTCGAAATTACCGATCGGTAATCACACCCTTCACGGGTATGTCACTTTTTACAGGCATGTCACTTTTAGCTAAAATTACCCCTACTCGCAATTTTTTACATATCAATGGAAAAAGTAATTAATTAAGACCAAATTATTTATTATTTCTAATTCAAAGGATTTTTTACGATCTAAAATTTTTTCGGTGATATGTCACTTTTTTCATATTTTATTTTCCATGTTTGGTTATAAACCACATAAGGTCAAAGATGAGATGAGAATCTTCAATGCATGGTGTACTCATACCATAAAAGAAAATGAGAATAAGAGAAAAGGTGCTTTAACTTTGATAAAACGTGAAGCACAGCAAAAGAAGACAACAAACATTGCAAACTATGTTGAAAAGTATTGCAAACATGATACGGCATATAATGCAGTTCGTTATATCGAAGCAGCTTCTAAATATGTTTATGAAAATGCAGATGCCCTCAAAAAAGAAAAACCAGACGCCGAAGGACAAAGATATATTGATTTCCTTCATGCTGTTAAGCATAAATTGAATTCAAAGGCTTTAATTGATTCACTTGATTATTTAGACCACGTAGCACCAAAATCAGGCCACCAACCTATTATCCCAGAGGAGGTTACACGATTCCTCAATGATGCAACACCTTCTGCTGCTACAAAAGTCGAAACTTTATCTCAAATCGGCTCAATGCTTAATCTGTCCAACGAATTTGTTGGTAGAGTAATGAAAGAATCGCCATCCCTACAAATGGGCCTCAGCCAAGCAACTCCAGCTCCTTCTCAGCCAAATCCACAATTTTATCCTCAGCAACAGCCTGGAATGATGCCTCCAGGCATGATGTACCAAGGCGGATACCAACAGCCAGGTATGATGCCTCCACAACAAGGACAAATGTACCCTCCTAATCAAATGAACGGACAACAGCCACAAATGTGGGGTCCACCACCACAGCAGGGCCAGCAACAACCTTTCATGCCGGGTCAACAGCCAGGAATGATGTATCCACCACAAAATCCAATTTACGCTCCTCCTCCACAGCAAATGAACTCTTCACAAGGATTACCACAGGATTCCGGATCTATTCCACCTGCTAACATTAACGCAACTAATCCTTACCAAAATCTTTAATTTTTTATGTTTGGTCTTACGAAGTTGAATTAAACTGTACATTAATGCTCGAATTTTATCAAGTTTGTTACTTTTTAAATGAATTTTATGCTTAATTTTAAAAAAATATTTTCAAAATATCTAAGTAAACATGATATTTTTAGTTTGCCATAATATTTATACGTTTCGATATTCTTTTTCCTTAGTTCATTTGAGTTGGAAACATATTGTTTGAATAAGAAATATCAATTCATCTAAAATACGCCCTATTTCGATCGAAAATCGTTATTTTACAATCTAAAATGCCCAATAAAGTTATATTGCACTATATTCATTACTGGATATAATCTCCTTATGTTTTTTTCCTATGTTTTGAAATATCGACCATGAATTAGTAATAAATCATGCACTATAGTACCATATCTCTTATTAATGAAAATGCTCAAAATTATGAAGAAATAACATAACATAAGTGTGATACTTATGGTTGCATGAGGGAATGCTGAAGGCAGAAAGATGAGTTTTTACTGTCAGATTTATTTTTTTTTATCAAAATATTGGGTATGTCATTATTCCGAATTTCATTTGTCTAGTTTTGAAAAAGAAATTCTATAACGTAAGCACATATTAAAAATATGTTTACTATAAATAACAAACAATAATATAAATAATTAATCAGCATCTTTTGCTATCAATATCTCAGTATCATCAACCTTTGGCTTATTCTGAGATTTGCACAACTTAGCAATATAAAAAACAACAAACAAAACAAGTAGAAATGCCAAAATAACAAAAATCTCATACATATTAGATTTTTCTTTTCTAGAAACAACATTTCCAAAGTTAATTTTCATGTTATTAGACTTTGGAAGAAAGACTTTGGAAACACCAGTAAAATTACCATCAAATGTTTTGTTTCCGTAATATATAATAGTTACTTTGTCTCCTTCAAACGCGTTGTTTGCAACTTCACACAAAGTATCAGGCAAAGTAATCAACTCAATCGAAGAACAATAAAAAGCTCTTTCTTTTATAACAATCAAAGAAGTATTTTCCAAGAAGAGTTCTTTCAATTTCGTATTAGCCAATGCATACGATCCAATTGTTGAAATATGAGTAGGTAACTGAGAAAGAGTCAAAGGACAATTATTAAACGCGTAATCTCCAATTTCAACAATATATTTTGGAAGATTAACAATATTCAAACGAATACAACTTTCAAAAGCACGACATGGTATTTTTGTTAATGATTCCGATTTAATATCAACGAATATCAATCTATTACAATAAGAAAATACATCATTTCCTAAATTTTTCAATGTTTCCGGCAAAATTATTTCAGAAATTGCAGTGTTTTTAAATGCAAATTCTTTGATTTCTATTATATGAAAAGGGAAATCAATACTATTTAGATTACTACAGAACTCAAAACAATTTTTATGAATGACTTTGATTTTAGTTTTAGAAAGATCAACTTTCTTTAATTCTTTGCAATTACTAAAGGAAAATTGTCCAATTTCGTTAGTATTTTCCAATAATTCTACTTCAAATAGTTTAGAATTACAAAATGAATATTCACCAATAGATTCAATTGTGGATGGTAGTTTGATGTGTGATAAAAATTCACATGAAGAAAAACATTCATTTGGAATATGTTTAAGTGTTGATTTGTTGATACAAAATGTTGAAAGTTTTGATTCTTTGAAACATCCAAAACCAATCGATGAAAGATTTTCAAGTTCAATATTTTTGATTCCTGTGTTTGAAAATGTTTCAATACCAAGTTCATCAACTTCAAAAAGACATGTTAAAAATAGAAGTTGTTTGCAGTTCTTGAAACAAAAATTGTTGATAATATGAATATTAGAATATGAAAAGTTAACAGATTCTAATGATAAAAGATTTTCGAAACATGAAACACCAAGATAAATACATGTTTTCGGAATTGTGATGTTATGAATAAGTGTGTTACAAAATGAAAAATCTCCATTTCTTGTCAAACATGATGGAAGTATAACAATCTCTAATTTTGGACAATCTTTGAAACAATTCTTCGGAATTTCTAATAATGGTGATTTTTCTAGATTAACTTCTTTTAGTTCATAACATCCCATGAATGCACCTTCCTCAAGTTTACTTACTTTATCACTTTCAAATATTTCAATTGATGCATTGCTAAAACTATCTTTTCCTATTTCAGTAGAATTCGGAAATACCAGAGATGTTGTATGAAACATGAAAAATGCCTCATCACCAATAGATTTCACATTCGATGGTAAATCAAAGTCCAAAATGCTTGTGTTATAGAAACACCAATATGGAATTGATGTTATTGATGATTTATATAATGACAATTTCCCTATATTTGAATGCGCAAAACTATATTCTGACAATATTTCTGTTGTATCGGTTAATATTAAACTATGAATCCGTGTATTACTAAAAGCATGTTGTCCAATAGATTTTAATGCATTTGTACATAAATTGATGCTTATCAACTTTGGACATTTACAGAATAGATATGATTCTATTTCTGTTAATTTTCTGCTTTCACATTCAAATTTAATTAAATTTGTGTTGTAAAATGCTCCATATCCAATTAGTTCAAATCTGGATGGAATTTTAATCTCTGTTATTCCAGAAGCTTCGAAACAACAAGATCCAATTTCAATTAAACTTTTCGGCATAACACTTTCACGAATGCTACAATTAAAGAATGCTTTGGCTCCGAATTTTTTGCAATCAGTTTTTGAAAAATCTAATTTTTCTACTTTTGAGTTAGAGAATGCATAATAATCCACAGTCACCAGATGTTTTGGCATTGTGATTTGAGAAAATTTTGAATATTCAAAGTAACTATTGCTAATAGTCTGAACATTGTATGGTAAATGTATAATTCTAAGATTATGGCATTTATAAAATAAATTTTCGGGTAATTCAGTAAATTTTGTATGAGAAAGATCAATTTCCTCAACATTTGGCATTTTGGCAAAAGAGGAATTACTCAAATTGCATATTGATGATGGTAATATTAATTTTTTAATATAAGAAAGATCTATTGAGCTTGGTTCATGACTTACAACGGTATTTGACAAATCAAAGAGTGTTAAATTGTAACAATGACAAAATGCATATGATTCTATGTTTTCAAGTACGTATGGAAAAGTAACTTGTTCTAATGAATAACAGTTCTCAAAACAATAATTAGGAATAGTGAAAATCATTAGAAGTGAAAGATCAATATATTTAAGATTTTTTGCACCTGAAAATGCATAATCTTTTAGTGAAGATAAAGAGCGTGGTATTACTAATTCTTCTATTTTTGTTTCTTTGAAAGAAAATCCGGAAATTACTTCTAATTTCTTTGGTAAAATGATAATCTGTAAATTATGAACAAAATCAAACTGGTGGCTTTCTAGGTTTTTGATGTTTGTTAATGATATATTAATTTTGAATAATATACTTCCTGCAAAAGCATTTCTCTCTATCAGTACAACTCTCTTATTAAGTTCAATGCTCTTCAAATTTGTCATAGCAAAAGAATATTCTTTGATATTAGATACTTCAAGAATTTCGAAATTAAATTCCTCAAGGGGAGAGCCTAAAAATGCATATGATCCAATTGAATGTAATGAAAGATTAGGAAAGCTTGAAATATTTGTCCATGAGAAACTATGATTTCCAATTCTGATGATTGAAGATGGAAATGATATTGTAGTTAATTTTCCGCAACCAAAAAATAGTCTGTGAGGTAAATCTTCGGCTGTTGAATTCTTAATATAAACTGAAGTTAAATTAATGCATTCTTCAAATGCAGAATTTTGAATGTGCTTTAAATTAGGGATATAAACATTAGAAATCTCAGTTTTTGAAAAAGCTCCTTCGTAAATTGAAACCTCACCATCTGGAAATATAATTGATTTGAGTTTGGAATTTGAAAATGCTTCTGTTGTGATATAAAGCATTGAACATTTGCTCAAGTCTAAATGCTCGATGCTAGCATTATAGAAGGCTCTATTACCTATAGTTTTAAGATAATTTGATACAATTAATGTTTTGAGTTTATAGGTCTCTTTTGAAATTGTGATTAATTTTAACGCAGGGCAATTCTTAAAGCATGAATCTGGTATTTTTCTTAAGTTCCAATTTTGAACTATAAAACTCTCTAGAAATAGACAATTTTCAAAAGCGCTAGGATATATAAAATCTAAATTAATAATTGAAATATTGACAAATGCCCATTCGTGAATTTTTATATTTTCAGGAAACTTAATTTCTGGAATGTTTGAGCCATAGAAGCAATAAGTTGAGATGTATTCAATTGATGTTTTACTCAAGTCAAGCAAAGTGTGAAGAGATAAATATCCAAAAGAACAATTTTCTAAATATTTAATTGTGGATGGTAATATTAGGCTGTAAAACTCTTTTTTATAAAATGAATAACTTGATATTCGAGAAATTTCATATTCTTTATCATGCTCAATGACACCTGGAATTACTAGTGTAGATTCGTTGGAATAATGGCCACTATTATTCTTAAATTGAATACCTTGAATTCCAAATTTTTGTGATTTTAGTGAAAAGTTTTCAATATAATCATTTATTTCGTGCTGGAACAGAAACTTGTCTTTGTCATAATCATTATAGTACCAAAAAATAATTATTGATAACATCTTATGAAATTCCTATTTCAAAATGGTTTAATTTTATATTCTGCAACTTAGATGAATGAATACTCATTATACTTTATTGCTCTGATATTGATTTGATTTTGAATTGTTGCAAAAATAATAGAAATGCGAAGAAAAGATATATATCTTTCATGATTTTTAATGTTCATTATTGTGCAGACTGATGCCGTTTTTCCAAAAATATTAGTTATTAGTAGTATATATGATGGGTTTAGTGACTTTTTTTGTAAACGTAAGAATTCATACAATATCGAGTGATATTGTATCATTTTTAACATATGAAATAAAAAATATATTTATTTATAAATCATTTAAAATTAACATTAAATAAATAATTTATTTCATCACTTATAAAAGAAGCTATATATAGATGATATCAGATATTCCGCGATTAATTAAACATTGTTTAAATCATGAATGGAATCAATGGAGTCATAATCAAAGACCTCATAAACGAGAAAAATAATTTAGAAACTAATGATTATTTGAATTTATGAAATCAATTATTTGATTCATTCTTTCTTCAATCTCTTCTATTCTTTTTGTTAAATCATCTATTTTCATTAATGAGGTGATTCTTGATTGGGGAATAGATTTCAAACTAACCACCCCTTTTATTTTTGAAATTTTGAATCCATCAACTTTAAACATTTTATTCAATTTACATGTTGTCAATTCTTCAAATAATTTTTTATTATTAGCATAATAGTCATTAAATTCTTCAACAGATGAAAAATACATTAATGATTACATAAACTTTTTACCGATAATAAGAAACTTAGATATTATCACAGATGAAAAAACAATTGGCAGTTTTATGTATAATTACATGAAATCAAACAATCTACCAGTTGACCAGAAACAGAGAAAATTAACTCAGTTAGCATCAACACACAACCAATATCAACCATTTTCTTCTTATTATCTTTGGTATCTAATCGACAGATTTCATTTTATCATCGATGATATTCAATCAATTTTAACATTTACGAAAAACACTTGTTTTAATGAATTTGCGAACAAATTTATGAACGAAAGACAAAAGGCTGAATTAGAAGGAAATAAAGGAAAAAGTTTATTTTGTAAGATTTCACTTAATGGATCATATGGTTATGATGCAATGAATACACAAAATTACGCAAAGACTAAAATAATGAATGCACAGAAGGCACGCGTTGCATGTATGCCAAATAAGTTTAAAAACATAAGAGAAATAGGAGAGGATACGTATCAAGTGATGCTCAAAGATAGATTTTATAGATGTGAAACATGTTTACAAGAGGCATTCTTTACTTTAGATAATGCTAAATACTGGTATTTGGTTTTCATTTATGATTTTATGTATAAATGCATGAATGTTAATCGTTTTCATTTCATTGAAGGTGATACTGATTCATCTTATTGGGCAATCGCTGGCGATCCAAATCTTCCTAACACTCAAGCATTTCAAGCGATTATAACCGATAAACAATTTTATGATAAAAACATTTTCAAATTCGCACCATTTGATTTCTTCTGTTTTGATGAGAAATTTAAACCTAAATTAAAGAATAAAGTTGAAGAAAAAGCACATGAGAAGAAGTTATTGGGTTTAGCAATTGAGAAACAAGGTGATAACATGGTTGCTTTATGCCCTAAATGTTATACATCATTCAACGGTTCAATTGATGAAAGTGATTTTAAAAAGATTGCACAAAAAATGAAAGGTGTTAGTTTACGACAAAATAAACAATTAACACCTAAAAATTATTTGGATATAATAAATGATAAAGTGATATTTGATGGCCAGAATATTAATTTACAACTTCAAAACGGGTCAATGACTCGCTTAACAATCGGTAAGACTGCATTAACAGGAGCACACACTAAGGCTGTATGTTGTGAAAATGGATGTTGTATGCCAATTATTTAATAAAATGCCACAAATGAGGAAATAAAGGAACCGTTAATAATGAGGTGATTCTTGATCAAAGAGGTGAGCACCCCTAAAACATTTATTTTATTTTTATATAAATGGATAATGTAGATTTAAAAATTTTAATTGATGATTTAGTACTTAATCAAAATTTTCTTAATTATTATGATTTAAAAGCATATCTCCAAAAATATGATGAAAATATAACGGGTGATGATATGGAATATTATTATCCATATTATAAAAATGAAATTTTGAAATTTCATGATAAAATAATTTCTGTAATTAAAGACAAAATTAAAAATAATGAATATACAAAGGGAAAAACTAAATCACAACTTAAACAATTGAAAGATTTCAAAAATAAAGTATTAACAGAAGAAAATATTGATGAATTATATAATTTATATAATCCCGAGCCGCAAAAAACAAAGGTGCAAAACGCCCAGGTCATTCAGACCATAAGTGATGCACAAGCTTTAATTTATGATTCATTAGTTAAACCACACTCAGCCCGACTTTTAAATGAAGATCAACTTTTGGAATTCATCCTTCAACATAAACTCGAAGCGGGAAAGTATATCAAACCTTTATATACAGTATATTTAAAACAAATGAATAAAATACATCCAGAATTAATGAAAGGAGGAATGAAATCCAAAATCAAAGCAGATAAAATTAAACCACTTGCAACACCAAAACTTCCAACAGTAGTACCTCCTCCTCCTTCAGTTAATCCTTCATCATTCACTTTATTGTATCCATTTCAAACATTAAAGAAGCAAAAAGATTTTAAAAAGGATTTCAAGATATTAAATAAACCAACTGACCCAAAAATTCAACCGTTAAAGGAAAAATTTAGTCGCCCCTCATTTGCTCCATATCCATATTCATACGAAATCGATCATTTAGAATATTCAAAAGGAAACGTTACTTATTTATTCGCCATTAACATTAACACCAGATATTTATATTGCATTCCGGTGAAAGGGAAAACAGAACAGGAAACAAGAAGAGCTATTCAATACTTACTAGATCATGAAAGAGTAGATAATATCAGGGGTGATGGTGATAAAGGATTTCAGGCAGCTATGGCTCATTATTTCCCACAAATTAATTTTTTCTTTTCATCCTCTCCATATACGTTTCATAATAAAATAGTTGATGCGGTAATGAGAACTCTTAGAGATGTGTTAGGGGTTAACGGTCAGATATACTCGGATGGAAATCATGACTCCATCATACAGCAGTTAGTATATTATTACAATAATACATGGCATAGAACTATAAACATGAAACCAGTGGAAATGAAAAATGATATTTCAAAAGAATGGGAATATATTAGAAAACAAATGGAAAGGTTAAATGATGTTAAACGTGAACAAATTAATTCGGGGCTCATGAATTTTAAACAAGGGGATAAAGTTTTGATTCATCTCGATTATGGAAAAACTGATAAATCAATGACAAAAAGAAGACGAAGATTTGACACAATAGCTGAATTTGTTAGATATATTAACGGCAATGCATTAGTTGAGGTTAACAATAAATTAATAGAAATTCCGATTTATTATATTACTCCATTATATTTAAATAATATAGGGTGTCCAAAGGTGTGTTTAGCACAAACCTGAATACTGCGAATAGAAATAAACAAGTTACATATATATAAAGTTTATTTAAATATAATCACCATTGGATTCAATCACGCGTTCGCAGCGATCGATCCAGGCTTGAAAGACACGCTTTAAATCATCATGAGAAAATTGCTCAAATTGCTCTCTTACAAAAATTTCAAGATCATCTGGACTCGCGAATTCGCGTCCTTCAGCTCTCTTTTTTAGCGTGCCGAATAAATAAAAGTCAGAGGGTGCAATATCAGGTGAATAAATTGGGTTTGGAACAACTTTGACATTGTTTTCCACCAAGTAATTCATTACCTTATGACTTTTGTGAACTCTTGAATTATCAAAATGAATTGCAAACTTTTGTTTTTGTTGTTTGGATTTCTCAAACTCATCAGAATTGATAATTTGAGTAAGAACATTGTCAATTAGATACTGAGCATTCATCGTATTAGGTTTGTGAAGAATATCAATTGCGATGATGCCATTCACGCCCCAAAAAACCGACAACATCATCATTGGTGTGTCAATTTTTTTCTTCGGGAATGTTTGCGGATTTTCATCCTTCGGGATCCACATGATTTTGGCTTCTGTTGCATATTGAAACCAAGACTCGTCCCCTGTTACTAAAAAGCGAAACTTCTTGGATTGATACGCACCCAATATAGAGAGGAGCTCTTTCGAAGATTGGACTCTAGATTTTTTTTGAACTGAATTAAGGTTGTGCGGAACCCAACGTGTATACGCTAGTTTGTAGTTCAAATAATTGTGCAGATAATAACTGACTGTTGTACGTGGTATCTTTGTCATCTCCTCTATCCTTCTGAGTGATGCTCTTGGGTCTTCATCTAGCGCTTGAAGAATTGCTTTGATTTTTCTTTGATCCGGCGATTTTTTGTCAATTTTTATGATGGGCGCCTTTTTGTTCATGAAGTGATACATCCTAACATGATACGTTACAGTGGAATAGCTAGGAGCATCCATACCGAAGCATTTTACCAATGTCTTGTAGATTTTTTTACAGTCTTTGCATTTTTTTGCAAGAGCGAGGATGTTTTCTTTATGATTCATTAAAAAAATGAAAAAAATCCCGCCAAAATTTCCCGCGAAAACGCCTCTTGTCTCAAAATTCATTTTATATCCCGGCATGGCGCCAAAATACAACATACTCATCATATACATATATTCATATTTTTTATTATATATTTATAATCAGCATATATCTCCTTTAATAGTCTCATATAGAGCGCTGTGCTAAACGCACCTTTGGACACCCTATATTATATTAGGTAATCATGATTTGAATGAAGAAACTAATAGAATATAGAATTCCGATTTATTTTATTACTCCATTATATTTAAATAATATTTAATTTTTTTATTTCGTAAGAAATGAGTGACAACGAAGCATCCAAGAGTCCAGATGATGAATATAAAAAGAA